AGTAGTTGACTTGTGTTATTGCACTTCCAATGCATTTCTGCACTGGAAGTGCCTTATAAATAAGTAAAAAATTACACAGGCTACACCATAGTTGGCATGTGTTATTGCACAGTAAGAGAGAAGAATATTGCACATTAGTGACAAAAAGTGAATAGGTAATGTTTTGCACAAGATGTCCAAGGAGAGGGGTGCTGACCTTTGTCTCCATCTTCTAATCCTCTAATATGCTCTATGCAGAACTCCTAAAGTTAAAACTTTTCTTTTTTTAATTCTGTAAAAAATCTTCTTTAAAGAACCTTTGCAATCCGATCATTAACTGTATAATTTATTAATCAATTAGCAAAATAATCATTAGTTGCAGCCCTAATTTAATCCTTTCTTCAGTCTAAAAGGTGAAAATATCGCTGCTTGGTAACAGTTAATACTTTTCAACCTATGAAAAATGATTTTAGGAGTTTCAGAGACGCTACTCTACTTTACTGCTGCTCTCTACAGCAGCAGAGATTCATCTTTTACCTCCAACTGCAGAGAAAAATGACTCTACAAAACTGAGTTTTATCCAGATTTTTATTTTCTTTCAATTTAACATGCATTTCTCACGGTTACATGGAAACTTTATGGTGCTTTTCAACCTGATCATTTGTTTCCTCCTCTGCAGACAACCTACCAAAGTAACTCCAACATGGTCGACGTGAAGTGCCGAAGAAGGGTTTCGTATAAGAGAAAATCCTCCACAGGTAAACCTGAATAATATTCCCTTTTAATAATAAATGCCAATAGTATTCAGACGCTTTATATGAAATTAACCAGGGGAATCCAAACAACAGGCTTATAACAGTGAAAGTTTGTGCATAGAACTTAATTACCAGCGTTATTTTTAAGCTGTCCTCTGGATTGTTGGGTTTATTTTTGCTTGTTTCCCTTTAATGACCCCTCCTCTCATCTCTTTCACTCTAATTGGATGCAGCTTCCCTGCAGACTGTCTAAACAACTTATCTGATGACTCATGTGATCTGAAATATCAAGAGATAGTAGGTCAGAGTAAGGCGGGACCTTCTGTTGCATCAAATCTGAGGCGCTCTTAAGTCAAACTTACTTTTAAGGCGACAACAATTCAGATTCTTTAAAGAACCGTATGTCAGTGAGTTTTATGTGGTCACATTTATGTTTGTTGTAATAAGGACATTTGCCTGCACCTGTGCAGAGAGAACAGGTGGAGCAGAGTCAAAAAAAGATGTTCCTCTGTGGGCCTGAAAATGGTACAGTACACCAAGGCCTGCAGCACGCCGCTCACCTCCCCCGTTAGCAGGTCAGAGCTGCAACATGAGCTAAGGCTGGATGAACAGAGGCATCATGTGGAGGTTTTATTCCTGTAGCCTTTGCTGAGCTAAAGCAGAGACACAGCAGGCTATAAATGCATCCTAATGTAGTGTCTGTTGGACAGAACTTATTCCTTTGATTGTTATTTTCTTCTGCGTTCTTACGAGCCTAATTTTCACTCATGTTCAGGTTGTAACGCTTGAAAATTATATTACTTTTCATTTCTGGATCCCTATCTCAAAGAATTTTTTGAAATAGTCAAAAAATTGAGCTTTCATTTCATATAGTGGCATCTGACTGTTTTTTTTAAGGTTACTTTATACTTTTATACTTTAAGTAGTTTTTGGAGCACATACTTTTCCACTTTTACTTGAGTAAAGAGGTCAAGTTGATACTTCAACTTTTACCAGAGTGTTTTTAAACTGCAGTATCTATACTAATACTGAAGTAACAAATGTGCGTACTAATTAATACCCTTTTAATATCCCCAGGTGGCTTTAACAAGTCCTGATGTAACTCTGCTGGTTCTGATTGGAACAGTTGGCTGGGATTGTGAAGTGATCACAAACACTGGCAGTTAAATGGAAAATATGGATTAAATATTAGATGTTT